CACAAAAACACAACCTTTTGGAATGCAGCTTGGATCAACATGTTCTGTCATGCACTTCACCATGTCCTCAACAGCCGACGTGCCATGCCACCAGCATTTCCAAGTCGCCAACGATTTTGGCACCTCCATTGGCTCTAGGTGGTACCCTATCCTGACCTGAGTTTCAAGCAAAATGCTGCAATGAGGTCAGCAACCTATGGATCCCTGATTGCGCGGGGCGTCCATATGCTCAACTTCGAATACGACGTGCGACGTGAGAGATAGCAATTGGCCTCCAACCTACTAGCGATCCATGATCTCCCACCTAATAGCTATTGGCGATGGCCTCCAACCTACTAGGGATGGCCAGGGATGGCCTCGAACCTACTAGAGCTTCCAACCTCATAGCGACCATCCCTCAACAGGCACGAATCGCACCCCACGCAATCGGCCTTGGCACGGCTGTATAGATCCAAGCTGAAGGAGCCTGCGCAAGACGAGAAAAGGGGTAGGGGACATGGAGTTTGGATTGAAGGGTCTAACGAGTTGGGAACACGTTCATTCGTTTGCTTGGCTCTCTCAAAAAAATACATTAGTCAATCTCCCACAACAAACCGGCCTTGTGATCTGGAGCCACCAGACGAAGAGCGCCCTCCACATCACCTATATATGTGTGGCACGAACGGTTGGGCCATTAACATTGGGTTCTATAGGTGGGTGAGGCTACACATATATGGAGCGATTCAGCTAACAAACTAAAGCTAGATTTCATGCACAACATCATCACGTGACTGCATGGCACAGTGACTACATGTTATGGCAAACGTGCCTTCCACGACTCATCATGGAAGCAAGGGCGGCGAGATGGCGGCGCGGGCCAGGAGTGCAACAAAAATCTCAACCTGTTCCAACGCGCAAGGCATGAAACAAATCCATGACATGGTAGCTGAGCGAAAAAAAGGTGGAACTGGAACACACAGATCTTTTCAACGCCGCCCTGCCCAACAAAAACGATCAAATGGCAGCGGGTGGATTCGAGTGGCAAGGCATACATCCTGAACAAAGGACAGGCTTTGCGACAAACCGTGCTTCACACATGCTTCACACACCCTGCTGAGATCTAAAGGAGGACAACCGGATCTAAAACATCTCGAAGCGGCTCCGACGTAGCAAGTTGTTTCATGTGTCAACACCCTGCGCCATATGAATGTATATGAATGTAAAGGAAAGCTGTGGGAGCTATATGGTTTTCAGCTCCCGATCGTGTTTCCGAAATCTCAGACCGTACAATATTGTTAACACAGCACCAAAATTAGACTGAGGAATATATAAACTTTAGACAATGGGCGGAACTTTCAATATCCAACACATAAACTATAGGATTTGAGCAGGCGATGGGCGGAAATTT